ATTATAATTAAATAATTCTTGCTAACATAAGACGGATTTGGCAAATGACATCCTCTAAGAAAATAGAGGGTGGGTGGGCGGGGCTAGTATTTGATAAGATAAAACTGATTTTCTCACTTTTGGCATTTTCGTCTATTTTTCAACTATGTATTTCCGAAAATTAGTGAGAACATAGAAAAACGTTCCTAATTTCCAAAAATTTTTTGTTTGAAACAGTTAAAAGACGATTGGACTCAACGGAAAATTGTTGGCTTATTGATAATTTTTCGCAGATTACGAGTCTAAAATATTTTTGACGATTTGTCTTCAAATAACTGAGAAATGCGTGAAAGGACTCCAAAAATCCCCAAAATTTCCAAAGAATTTTAAACCGTTCGAAATGGCTTTATTTGAGAGAAAAACATTAAGTTTCTAGTTTTATAGAGTATTAATCGCAGATTTATTTTATGAAATACTAGCCCCGCCCGCCCACCCATCCTCAATTTTCTTGGAAGGTTTGTTATTTGCCAAAATCAGTCTTATCTTAGCAAGTACTATATTATGGCAAAATAAATTATTAAACAATAATTAAATAGTACTTGCTAAGATAAAACTGATTTTGGCATATCACATACCTTCCAAGAAAACAGGGGGCGGGTGGGCGGGGCTAGTACATGCTAAGATACGACGGATTTTGGCAAATCACATACCTTCCATTTGCCAAAAGTTGTCTTATTTTAGCAAGTAGTAGCCCCGCCCACCCACCCTGTATTTTCTTGGAAGGTATGTGATTTGCCAAAATCAGTCTTATCTTAGCAAGTACTAGGCCCGCCCACCCACCCTCCATTTTCTTGGAAAGTATGTGATTTGCCAAAATCAGTCTTATCTTAGCAAGTACTATAATATTATATATTGAAATGCAAAATAAATTATTAAACAATAATTAAATAGTACTTGCTAAGATAAAACTAATTTTGACATATCACATACCTTCCAAGAAAACAGAGGGCGGGTGGGCGGGGCTAGTACATGCTAAGATAAGACGAATTTTGGCAAATGACACCCTCTCAAAAAATAGAGGGTGAGTGGGCGGGGCTAGTATTTGATAAGATAAAACTGATGTTCGAACTTTTGACATTTTCGTCTATTTTTGAACTATTTCCGAAAATTAGCGAGAAAATGAGAAAATGTTTTCCTAATTTCCAAACAATTTTTGTTTGAAAGAGTTAAAAGACGATCGGACTCAATGGAAAATAGTTGGCTTATAGATAGTTTTTCACAGATTACGATTCTAAAATATTTTTGCCTTCAAATAACTGAGAAATGCGAGGAAAGGACTCCAAAAATCCCCACAATTTCCAAAAAATTTGAAACTGTTCCAAATGGCTTTATTTGAGAGGAAAACATTCAGTTTCTAGTTTTATAGAGTATTAATCGCAGATTTATCTTATGAAATATTAGCCCCGCCCACCCACCCACCGTCTGTTTTCTTGGAAGGTATGTCATATGCCAAAATCAGTCTTATCTTGGCAAGTACTAGCCCCGCCCATCCGCCCTCTATTTTTTTTGGAAGGTATGTGATTTGCCAAAATCAGTCTTATCTTACAAGTACCATATGTATTATGTATTGAAATGGCAAAATAAATTATTAAACAATAATTAAATAGTACTTGCTAAGATAAAGCTGACTTTGGCATATCACATACATTCGAAGAAAACAGGTGTCGGGTGGGCGGGGCTAGTACAATTTAAGATAAGACTGATTTTGGCAAGTGATATATCCTCTAAGAAAATAGAGGGTGGTTGGGCGGGGCTAGTATTTGATAAGATAAAGCTGATTTTCGCACTTTTGACATTTTCGTCTATTTTTCAACCATTTCCGAAAATTAGCGAGAAAAGTAAGAAGTTTTTTTCGTAATTTCCAGAAATTTTTTGTTTCAAACAGTTAAAAGACGATCGGACACAACGGAAAATAGTGGCTTATAGATATTTTTTCGTAGATCATAAATCTAAAATATTTTTGACGATTTGTCTTCAAATAACTGAGAAATACGAGGAAATTTCCAAAAAATTTGAAACCGCTCGAAATGGCTTTATTTGATAGGAAAACATTCAGTTTCTAGTTTTATAGAGTATTAATCGCAGGTTTATCTTATGAAATACTAGCCTCGCCCGCCCACCCACCCTCTATTTTCAGTATGTCATTTGCCAAAAATTGTTTTATTTTAGCAAATACTAGCCCCGCCCACCCACCCTCTATTTTCTTAGAACATATGGCATTTGCCAAAATCCGTCTTACCTTAGCAAGTACTAGTCCCTCCCTCCCGCCCTCTATTTTCTTGGAAGGTATGTGATTTGCCAAAATCAGTCTTCTCTTAGCAAGTACTATATTATATATTGACTTGGCAAAATAAATTATTAAACAATAATTAAGTAGTACTTGCTAAGATAAAACGGATCTTGGCATATCACATACTTTCCAAGAAAACGGGGGGCGGGTGGGCGGGTCTAGTACATGTTAAGAAAGACGGATTTTGGCAAATGACATCCTCCAAGAAAATAGAGAGTGGGTGGGCGGGGCTAGTATTTGATAAGACAAAACTGATTTTCGCACTTTTGACATTTTCATCAATTTTTCAACAATTTCCGAAAATTAGCGAGAAAATAAGAAAAATTTTTCCTAATTTTCAAAAAATTTTTGTTTGAAACAGTTAAAAGACGATCGGACTCAGCGGAAAATAGTTGGCTTGTAGATGATTTTTCGTAGATTACGAATCTAAATATTTTTGACGATTTGTCTTCAAATAACTAAGAAATGCGAGGGAAGGACTCCAAAAATCCCCGAAATTTCCAAAAAATTTGAAACCGTTCGAAATGGCTTTATTTGACAGGAAAACATTCGGTTTCTAGTTTTATAGAGTATTAATCGCAGATTTATCTTATGAAATACTAGCCCCGCCCACCCACCCACCCTCTATTTTCAGTATGTTATTTGCCAAAAATTGTTTTATTTTAGCAAATACTAGCCCCGCCCACCTACCCTCTATTTTCTTAGAAGATATGGCATTTGCCAAAATCCGTCTTACCTTAGCAAGTACTAGCCCCGCCCACCCGCCCTCTGTTTTCTTGGAAGGTATGTGATTTGCCAAAATCAGTCTTCTCTTAGCAAGTACTATATTATATATTGAAATGGCAAAATAAATTATTAAACAATATTTAAATAGTACCTACTTGCTGAGATAAAACTGAATTTGGCATATCACATACCTTCCAAGAAAACAGGGGCGGGTGGGCGGGGCTAGTACATGCTAAGATAAGACGGATTTTGGCAAATGACATATTCTCTGAGAAAATAGGGGGTGGTTGGGCGGGCCTACTGCTTGTTAAGATAAAATTGATTTTGCCCCTAATAACTCACCAAATTGTTAACGCTTTCTGTAAATTCTTTGAATCGATTTATATAAAGCATAATAAATAAAATTGTGTGGGTACTGACATATATGAAATGCGATTCCGAACAACATGTGCTTGAACTTGCGTCACATTTATGATAAATATATGATAAGTGCTATTAAAAAACTCAAAGCAAAAAGTTCGTCAGGTTCTGACAGAATTCCTAGTTTTTTAATTAAATATTGCTCTTCATGTCTAATTGCGCCGTTTATTGTTTAACTTAATTTGAAAATCGTCAGTATTTCGAAAACTATGATTTCAGCAAGTTGTTCGAAAAGATTTTGTATTTTTACATATTTATCTATGTACTTAAAAAATATCATCAGTTCGAATCAACATGGATTTGTTGAGGGTAGATTCACAGATAGCAATTTATTTATGGTTACTCAGTTTATATCTGAAGCGTTAAACAAAGGAAAATAAGTATACAGATATATCAAAAGCGTTCGATGAAGTAGATGATAATGTTTTAATTAACAATTGGATCGTTATGGCATTTCCAATGACGTGCGCAAATTAGCGAGGTCGTATATGTTGTATGTGGACTACAATAATTTACATCCTCCACTTTAGGTCCTTGGTATTTGTGATATTTATCAACGATCTGAGCAGTGTTATTAAGTCGAGTCATTGACTGTGATGTTTTACATGAAGACCTAAACGTAGTTTCTCGCTGGTGTAGTGAAAATCATTCACTTCTAAATAATAGAACTGATTTTGGCAATGACATATCCTCTAAGAAAAGAGAGGGTGGGTGGGCGGGGTTAGTAGATAAGACATTTTGTCAAAATTTGCCATTCGACGCGGATTGCTTGTAGGTCAGTCGATCGCACCTCTCGATTACGAGATTGTTCGTGATCACACCATTCTGATAAAAGAAGAACAAAGTAACACCAAGATAACAAACTACCTCCAAACTGGAGTTGTTAGACACGTTGTGCTAGCATCAATAAATAACAACCGAGGTCGATTCACATGACCGCAGAGAATTTCACTTTTTAAACAGGTGACTAATCAAAGAACTATTCTTACAAAAGCACAATTTCGTTACACTCGAGACCCCCAATGAAACGTCATCGATTTGGGCAAAACCTTGGCCCTCAAACTCGTATTTAATTCACTATTTTTACGTGACCGTCAAGTAATCGATTCGTCAAAACTACGACCATTTCACGCCGATCAATGTGATTGCAGGGTCAACAAGTGGTCTCTATTATTAACCAGATAAGGGGTAAATCGAATCCATCCGTTTTCGCTAGTTTATCTCTTATCAGATAGAGTAGTTCAAGCACCGTTCTAGTCGTAAAATCACTATGTAATATGCTAATCACGACTCGGAGAACCATCATCAGAGATTTAAATCAACTAATTGCGCTTGAAATTCAATAAAACAAATTTTAACGTTCAACCTTTTGTACCAGATCGTGAATCATCTTGACGTCGCGTCACCTGCATCGATTAATTTGCATGAACAATTACGTAACCGCTATTTCGAAAAAATCCGCGAACGTTGTTTGTTCAGTTACGTCAGCACGACCATATGTTATCCTCTTCTTACATTATTCCAGTAATAAAGCCATCGCTGATTACCTCGGTAGCAATGGTTACATGAACGCACTAGAAGCGTTCAAGAAAGAAACGGACATGCCGGGCGAGCTCGAGCGCAAGTTCGGCGGCCTCCTCGAAAAGAAATGGACCTCTGTGATAAGGCTCCAGAAGAAAGTCATGGAGCTCGAATCGAAACTCCACGAAGCGGAGAAAGAGTACATCGAGGGGGCGCCGACGAGGGGCAAACGCAGCCCCGCCGACTGGATCCCCAGGCCGCCGGAGAAATTTTGCCTGACCGGTGCGTAAAACCCCCTTCGAAAAGTTTGATCACCGATTTTGTTTGTTTGTGTCTAGGTCACAGAGCGCCCGTGACGCGCGTCGTTTTCCACCCGATGTTCAGCTTGTTCGTGTCGACGAGCGAGGACGCCACCATCAAGGTGTGGGACTTCGAGACGGGGGAGTACGAGCGCACCCTCAAAGGCCACTCGGATGCCGTCCAGGACGTCGCCTTCGACGCCTCCGGAAAGCTGCTGGTGTCGTGCAGCGCGGATATGTCCATCAAGCTGTGGGATTTCCACCAGAGCTACGAATGCATTCGGACGATGCTCGGCCACGATCACAACATCTCGAGTGTGGCGTTCATGCCGGCCGGCGATTTCGTCGTGTCGAGCAGCAGGGATAAGTCGATTAAAATGTGGGAGGTGTCGACGGGGTACTGCGTCAAGAGTTTCGTAGGACACAAGGATTGGGTAAATAGGGGTTGATGACGCAGAAACACGATCAAAGGCGGCGAAATTAACGCAGTAATGCCGAAATCGGGGCAATTTAAAGTCCGGAAGTGCGTTTTTGGCTGGAGTTAAAGTTAAAGTGTGTATTTTTGGACTTTAAAATTTTAGAGTTTGAAAACGAGACTTAAAATTATGAGAAACGGTTGTAGGATTTTGTTCCGCTGGTCGTGTTCTTTTGAATATATAGAGGGTGATTCAGCTTAATGACTCGCTTATCTCTTTCTTATAGGCACCCCAACATACGTTATCCGCTTGCTTCATGATTAAAATTTTAATTTTCAAAATAATATATACAGGGTCGCTAGAATGTATGGAAACCTTCTCGTGGGTTCCAACCAATGATTGAAAATTACTTTAACAAATATTTTTTGCACTTTGAAAAATTTGATGAATGCAAAATTTTAGATATTTGTTCCTAAATACTTAGAAGAAAACCTTAGAGGGTGGACACTTTCATAAAATTTTATTGTGGAATTATGAGGGGTTTAAAAGGACAGCTCAATCGGTTACCTTTTATAGATTTGAGTAGACCAGAAAAATGGCTAAACTTTGTTTGACCACAAATTTTAAATATTCTGCCTCTGTTTACTCAATTATTTCTTAAGATATTTCATTTCTGTAAAGCGCGATGGTTTTTCTAATACAATTTCTACTAATGTACCTTTTTGAAAATTTAAAATTGATCCATAAATAGCGAAAACTCATACTCATCAGAATTTTAACGCCTTGTAGTTTTTTTTTTAACAAAATTTTAAAAACGGAAAAGCAGTCGTTCATTTCAACGGTATAAAGTTTATTACAATCAGACGTTATTTTTGGCAAAAACTAGGGCAGAAGTTTATATGTATTTCCCTATGCTGGAGTATACTTTAGCTCACCCTTAAAATGATGAAGAGTTTGTATATACTGTAACCTCATTTGAGATACACCTGCTAAAACTTTCATGACTTAAGCGGTTTAAGCCAAACCACCCTTATAAGTCAAACTGGCTATTGTAAGCTTTGTGGACCCGGACCGCAAGATTATTACTGTCCATTGTTGGCATAATGTAGCTGTGAACTGAGTTAAGTAATACAATAGCCGGTTTGACTTATAAGGGTGGTTTGGCTTAAGCCGCTTAAGTCATAAAAGTCTTAACATGTGTATCTCAAATGAGGTTCGCACTTTTGACATTTTCGTCTATTTTTCAACGATTTCCGAAAATTAGCGAGAAAGTGAGAAAAATTTTTCCGAATTTCCAAAAAATTTTAAACTGTTCCAAATGACTTCATTTGAGAGGAAAACATTCCGTTTCTAGTTTTATAGAGTACTAATCGCAGATTAATGTTATGAAATACTAGCCCCGCCCACCCACCCTCTTATTTTCTTAGAAGATATGTAATTTGCCAAAATCCGTCTTACCTTAGCAAGTATTAGCCCCGCCCACCCGCCCTCTATTTTCTTGGAAGGTATGTGATTTGCCAAAATCAGTCTTATCTTAACAAGTACTATATTACATATTGAAATGGCAAAATAAATTATTAAACAATAATTAAATTGTACTTGCTAAGATAAAACGGATTTTGGCATATCACATACCTTCCAAGAAAACAGGGGTCGGGTGGGCGGGGCTAGTACATGCTTAGATAAGACGGATTTTGGCAAATGACATCCTCTAAAAAAAATAGAGGGTGGGTGGACGCGACTGGTATTTGATAAGATAAAACTGATTGTCGCACTTTTGACATTTTCGTCTATTTTTCAACCATTTCCGAAAATTAGCGACAAAGGTGAAAAAAATGTTTCCTAATTTCCAAAAAATTTTTGTTTGAAACAGTTAAAAGACCATCGGACTCAACGGAAAATAATTTGCTTATAGATAATTTTTCGCAGATTACGAATCTAAAATATTTTTGACGCTTTGTCTTCAAATAACTGAGAAATGCGAGGAAAGGACTCCTAAAATCTCCAAAATTTCCAAAAAATTTTAAACTGTTCCAAATGACTTCATTTGAGAGGAAAACATTCCGTTTCTAGTTTTATAGAGTACTAATCGCAGATTTATCTTACGAAATACTAGCCCCGCCCACCCACCCTCTATTTTCTTGGAAGGTATGTCATTTGCCAAAAATTGTCTTATTTTAGCAAATACTAGTTACAGTATTATGGTTACCAGGTTTCTTAACAAATTCTGTGCTAAACTCGTTTTACATTTTAACTCCCTACTGGGTTAATCTTCTCTTTGTGGGGACGAACTAGGTATAATAATCCCAGCAGGTCAGGTAAACGATTCGTAGAGAAAAAAAAACAAAGTATATTTTTGAGTATTTGGGTTAAAAGTAATTGCAAAAACTGTTTGTAAAAGTGACTGAATTACTCAAAAAAAAGTAATAAGGAATTGAATTACAGTAATGAATTACTTGTAATTGAATTACTTTTTCGACTGGTCCCAGCTGTCTTTTAAAAATGTAAAACCTTCTCTGGGGATGTGAAACCTCGGGAGTCCCAATTGTCTTTTTTTAATGTAAAACCTTCTCGGGGGCTCCAAATGTATATTTTTAAGAATGTGAAACCTTCTCGGGTGCACAAACTGTCGTTTTTTTAAATGTGAAACCTTCTCGGGGGCGCCAAGTGTCTCTTTTTTTAATGTAAAACCGTCTCGGGGGCCCCAAATGTATATTTTTAACACGTTAAGCGCCATAGCAGACACCGGTGTCTGACCACTGAGTTCCATAGGGGGCCAGAGCGGTCACCAGTGTCTGTTTCATATTTCCTACTCTAGGAACACACAGACAAATAATTACGGATTATAGAGCGAATATGTGTCTGCCATGGCATGGGCACATTTGATCCCGCACTTGGTCTGTTGGTTGCATATCTCATATTAATTTTACAGAGTGTGTCCGCTATGTGTATCTGTTGTGGCCTCCTTTTTTTTGTCTGATTTTTTTGATATGTTACATGGCCACAGCGGACACATTTAATTACATAACAAGGAAACGACGTTTCCGCCGTAAAAGAAAGTGACCGCTGTTGTGACCGCTGTGGCCTCATAACATAGAATTGTGTCTGCTGCATTAGACTGCTGTGGCCCAGTCGTGCAAAAACTGCATAAAATATTATTATAATGCAGGGCCACAGCAGACACAGGTGTCTGTTTTAGTTTTTTTGAAAAATATGTGACAAAATTTTCGAATTTCAACAAATAACCTATGTAAATGTATATAATTTTATGTAGAATACGTACCTGCCAATGGCCCTATGACTGTAACTTCATGATTTTGGCTTGGTGCTTAACATGTTAAGAATGTGTAACCTTCTCAGGGGTGGTCCCAGTTGTCGTAAAGATGTAAAACCTTCTCGGGCGTCCCAAATGTATATTTTTAAGAATATGAAACCTTCTCAGGGGTCCCAACTGTCTTTTTTAAAAATGTAAAACCTCGGGACGCCAAATGTTTTTTAATGTGAAATCTTCTCAGGGGTCTTAATTGTTTTTTTTTTTAATGTAAAACCTCGGGGGTGGTCTCAACTGTGTTTTTTTAGAATGTAAAACCTTCTCGGGGACGCCAATTGTTTTTTTTTATGTAAAACCTTCTCGGAGGCTCCAAATGTATATTTTTAAAAACGTGAAAGCTTTTCGGGGGTGGCCCCAACTGTGTTTTTTAAAAATTTAAACCTTGGGGGTGCAAATTGTCGTTTTTTTTTAATGTGAAGCCTTCTCAAGGGTCCCAACTGTGTTTTTTAAATGTAAAACCTTCTCGGGGACGCCAACTGCCTCTTTTTTTAATGTAAAACCTTCTCGGGGGCCCCAAATATATATTTTTAAGAATGTGAAACCTTCTCGGGGGTGGTCCTAACTGTCTTTTTTAAAAATTTGAACCTTGGGGGCGCAAAGTGTCTTTTTTTTAATGTGATACCTTCTCGGGGGCCCCAAATGTATATTTTTAAGAATGTGAAACCTTCTCAGGGGTGGTCCCAATTGTCTTTTTTAAATATGTAAAAGCTTCTCGGGGGCGTCAACCGTCGTTTTTTTTTTATGTAAAACCTTCTCGGGGGCCCCAAATATATATTTTTCTGAATATGAAACCTTCTCGGGGGTGGTCCCAACGTTTTTTTTTTTAAATTTAAACCTCGGGGGCGCAAAGTGTTTTTTTTTTTTAATGTGATACCTTCTCGGGGGCCCCAAATGTATATTTTTAAGAATGTGAAACCTTCTCAGAAGTGGTCCCAATTGTCTTTTTAAATATGTAAAAGCTTCTCCGGGGCGCCAACCGTCGTTTTTTTTTTTTTTTTATGTAAAACCTTGTCGGGGGCCCCAAATATATACAGGCTGTCTCTTTTATTTGATACAACCCTTGTAACTTTTTTATTTTTACGAAAAACCTACAGTTCTTTGAGCAAATTTGTATTATTTTAAAGGAACTATGTGATGGCAACCTCACATTTTTATTATAACTTCCGGTAGAACCGGAAATGACGTCAATTTTTTTTTTTATGGAACACTAGGTATATTTCTCTATAAATGGAAAGATTGATTTTTTGTAAAAAGTCATAAGCAACTAATATTCTAAAAATCATACTTAAAAAGTTATTCAATTAAATAGACGAAATATTCATATTTGTTAATGACAATCTAGTAGCTTGAAAAATTGACACTCACGTCATTTATTCACGTAAGTGATGTTTTAAAATGATACAAAATTGCTTAAAGAGCTATGTGTTTATCTTTAGAAATAAAAGAAATTTAGGGGTTGTATCAAATAAAAGAAACACATGGTATTTTTAAGAATATGAAACCCCGGGGGTGGTCCTAACTGTCTTTTTTAAAAATTTAAACCTCGGGGGCGCAAAGTCTCTTAAGATGTAAAACCTTCTCGGGGGCACTGTCGTTTTTTTTTTTTAATGTAAAACCTTTTCGGGGGCGCCAAGTGTCGTTTTTTTTTATGTAAAACCTTCTCGGGGGCGCCAACTGTCGTTTTTTTAATGTGAAACCTTCTCGGGTTCGCCAACTGTTTTTAAGCTTCTCAGGGGCGCCAACTGTCTTTTTTTTAATGTGAAACCTTCTCGAGGGCGCCAACTGTCGTTTTTTTTTAAATGTGAAATCTTCTCGGGGGTTCCAACTGTCTTTTTTAAAAGTGTAAAACCTTCTCGGGGACGCCAACTGTTTTCAACCTTCTCGGGGGCCCCAAATTTATAGTTTTAAGAATGTAAAACCTTCTCGGGGGCACCAACTGTCGTTTTTTTTTTTTAATTGTAAAACCTTCTCGGGGGCGCCAACTGTCGTTTTTTTTTTAATGTAAAACCTTCTCGGGGGCGTCAACTGTCGTTTTTTTAATGTGAAACCTTCTCGGGTACGCCAACTGTTTTTAACCTTTTCAGGGGTGCCAATTGTCGTTTTTTTTTTTTAATGTGAAATCTCGGGGGTTCCAACTGTCTTTTTTAAAAATGTAAAACCTTCTCGGGGACGCCAACTGTTTTCAACCTTCTCGGGGGCCCCAAATTTATAGTTTTAGGAATGTAAAACTTTCTCGGGGGCACCAACTGTCGTTTTTTTTTTTTATTGTAAAACCTTCTCGGGGGCGCCAACTGTCGTTTTTTTTAATGTAAAACCTTCTCGGGGACGCCAACTGTTTTCAACCTTCTCGGGGGCCCCAAATTTATAGTTTTAGGAATGTAAAACTTTCTCGGGGGCACCAACTGTCGTTTTTTTTTTTTTATTGTAAAACCTTCTCGGGGGCGCCAACTGTCGTTTTTTTTTAATTGTAAAACCTTCTCGGGGGCGCCAACTGTCGTTTATTTTTATTGTAAAACCTCGGGGGCACCAACTGTCGTTTTTTTAAATGTAAAACCTTCTCGGGGGCGCCAACTGTCGGTTTTTTTAACTTGAAACCTTCTCGGGGACGCCAACTGTTTTCAACCTTCTCGGGGGCACCAATTGTTTTCAACCTTCTCGGGGGCGCCAACTGTCGTTTTTTTTTTATTGTAAAACCTTCTCGGGGGCGTCAACTGTCGTTTTTTTAATGTGAAACCTTCTCGGGTACGCCAACTGTTTTTAACCTTTTCAGGGGTGCCAACTGTCGTTTTTTTTTAATGTGAATTCTCGGGGGTTCCAACTGTCTTTTTTAAAAATGTAAAACCTTCTCGGGGACGCCAACTGTTTTCAACCTTCTCGGGGGCCCCAAATTTATAGTTTTAAGAATGTAAAACCTTCTCGGGGGCACCAACTGTCGTTTTTTTTTTATTGTAAAACCTTCTCGGGGGCGCCAACTGTCGTTTATTTTTATTGTAAAACCTCGGGGGCACCAACTGTCGTTTTTTTTAATGTAAAACCTTCTCGGGGGCGCCAACTGTCGGTTTTTTTTAACTTGAAACCTTCTCGGGGACGCCAACTGTTTTCAACCTTCTCGGGGGCACCAACTGTCTTTTTTTTTATTGTAAAACCTCGGGGGCGCCAACTGTCGTTTTTTTAAATGTGAAACCTTCTCGGGGGCGCCAACTGTCGTTTTTTTTTAATGTAAAACCTTCTCGGGGACGCCAACTGTTTTCAACCTTCTCGGGGGCACCAACTGACTTTTTTTTATTGTAAAACCTTCTCGGGGGCGCCAACTGTCGTTTTTTTAAATGTAAAACCTCGGGGGCGCCAACTGTCGTTTTTTTAAATGTAAAACCTTCTCGGTGGCGTCAACTGTCGTTTTTTTTTAATGTGAAACCTTCTCGGGTTCGCCAACTGTTTTTAAACTTCTCAGGGGCGCCAACTATCCTTTTTTAATGTGAAACCTTCTCGAGGGCGCCAATCGTTTTTTTTTTAAATGTGAAATCTTCTCGGGGGTTCCAACTGTCTTTTTTTTTATTGTAAAACCTTCTCGGGGGCGCCAACTGTCGTTTTTTTTTTATTGTAAAACCTCGGGGGCGCCAACTATCGTTTTTTTAAATGTAAAACCATCTCGGGGGCGCCAACTGTCGTTTTTTTTAAATGTAAAACCTTCTCGGGGACGCCAACTGTTCTCAACCTTCTCGGGGACACCAACTGTCTTTCTTTTTTTATTGTAAAACCTCGGGGGCGCCAACTGTCGTTTTTTTTTATTGTAAAACCTTCTTGGGGGCGCCAACTGTCTTTTTTTTAATGTAAAACCTTCTCGGGGGCGCCAACTGTCGTTTTTTTAAATGTGAAACCTTCTCGGGTTCGCCAACTGTTTGTAAACTTCTCAGGGGCGCCAACTGTCTTTTTTTAATGTGAAACCTTCTCGAGGGCGCCAACTATCGTTTTTTTTTTAAATGTGAAATCTCGGGGGTTCCAACTGTCTTTTTTAAAAATGCAAAACCTTCTCGGGGACGCCAACTGTTTTCAACCTTCTCGGGGGCCCCAAATTTATAGTTTTAAGAATGTAAAACCTTCTCGAGGGCACCAACTGTCGTTTTTTTTTAATTGTGAAACCTTCTCGGGGGCGCCAACTGTCGTTTTTTTAAATGTAAAACATTCTCAGGGGCGCCAATTGTCGTTTTTTTTTTAAATGTGATATCTTGTCGGGGGCGCCAACTGTCGTTTTTTTTTTTTAATTGTAAAACCTTCTCGGGGGCGCCAACTGTCTTTTTTTTTAATGTGAAACCTTTTGGGGGTTTCAACTGTCTTTTTTAAAGATTTAAAACCTTCTCGAGGGCGCCGACTGTGTTTTTTTTTATATTTTATGTTGGGTTGCCTAGTAGAAAAAGACAAATGAATCATTAAAGCTGAATCAGCCCCTATAAACAGATTTTTTGCTTCAAATTTAATTAAAAATCACATAATTTAGGTTAGAGTCGTGCGGCCATCGCCCGACGGCACGTTCCTGGCGAGCTGTTCCAACGACCAAACCGTGCGAGTGTGGCACGTTTACTCGAAAGAATGCAGGGCCGAACTCAGGGCACACGAACACGTCGTAGAATTCGTAGCATGGGCGCCCGAATCGGCAGCGAATGCCATTAACGAGGCCGCCGGGGTCGACAACAAAAAGGGTTCTCACATGGGACCTTTCCTAGCGTCGTGCTCAAGGGACAAAACCATCCGGTACGTCGCGCCTGCCCTTATCGAGGCTGTCTAGTAATGACGAAATTTGCAGAATATGGGATGTAGGGGCAAGCGTAGCTCTCTTCGTTCTAACGGGCCACGACAACTGGGTTCGAGGGGCCGTTTTCCACCCAGGTGGCAAATTCCTAGTGTCCGTCAGCGACGACAAAACACTGAGAGTCTGGGATTTGAGGAATAAACGCTGTTTTAAGACGTTAGATGCTCACAAACATTTTTGTACGTCTGTAGGTCAGTATCGATCGATTGGGTGTGCTGCGTTTTCGTGGTTTTGGATAACGAAAGCTGTTTTTAGATTTCCACAGATCACATCCTTACGTGATTTCGGGAAGTGTAGATCTAACGGTGAAAGTGTGGGAGTGCCGCTAGGCCGGCGGCATCCAGGCAGGAGTCGCACTACGGAAAATAAAGAACTCAAAAGTGGCGTTCGCGTCAGTTGGTGTGTATGATTATTATTTAAGCGAAAACTTTTATTCTGTTACATAAAGGTTTTATTTAGTGCAAATATTTCAGTTATTTAACTAATTTGAGTCTTGTGATTTTGTTCTATGTAACGTTATACAGATTACATTATTTAACAACGTATTTAAGGTCTGTAATTTTTCCCCGAGGCACTCTTGTGGTTTCTTAGAACAAAAACATTTTGTCGTTGTTATTTTCGTTACATCAACGGGATTTTTCCTTATTTATGTGATATTTTGAGGAAACTGCAAGTTTGTTAACTAGTTATTCTTATAAACGCTTCAAATATTTAAAAGGCAGTGGATAATAGTGCGCTGGAATTGTTGCTGATATTTAGCATGGAGTTTATTGTTGAATTATTTTTTGTTTACTGTTGAGTATCAGTGATGGTTTCACGAGTAGAGCTTCGTTTCAGTTCGTCAAGCATCTTAGAAATATTAACAATATTTATATAGAAATCTAGATTTCAGAATTTCAAAGTTTTGTGACAGTCGCAACTAGTAAGTAACTATAATCTTCAATGTAGATCTTGAAAATGTATATTGCACAAGTTCCGCTTCCGTTTTTTCTTTTACATGTACATATTTCGGTAGCGTTTCTGTTTTGTAAAAATACTCAGTTCAAGTGTACTTCATAACAATATTTTATTTTTTTAATTCCGGAACACTAGTTTTTTTTTTCTTCGTTTTCTTTAAGGAGTTTACCAAATCGCTTGCTTTATCATGTATAATGGCACAATGTTCATATATAGCCTTACATTGTCTTTTTGAGTAGATTTTGTGAATAATTTCTTCTGTATATAAATAAAATTGTCTCTCCATAAGTGTTACATTATTTCTTTCCCATCAAAAGAACCCCATTTATTATACTAGTTTCAGGTTTTTATTTCAGCGAATCTGTCCGAATGGGGACTTTTTTTGTATGAAGTTTATGAATAAATTGTCACATTATTTGTCATTTGTGTGGTGTAGATTTATTTGTAGATTTATTAATTGGATATAGTTGTTTTTTAGGGCATTATTTTAAAAAATAAAGATAAAAAAGTTTGAGGTTAGAAAGACAAGTCAAAGTTGCTTGCAGGTGTATAAAGGGTTGCATATCTACTTTATAAATTTACGCATTCATTAATTTTTTTGAGTCACCTGTACAAGTACAGACTCATCATTTTTCTACATTACACATACAGATAAGATTTATTCAGCAAACTTTTGAGTAAATATATTTTGAATAAAAACTTAGCATGCTTACGAGAACTTGTTGGATTTCCAGACCAAAGCGCGCTCAGGCCAATGTCGACTCTAAGCGTTCAGAAGCGATTTGGTTGGTTTGGACTATAATTTCTGCGGGAAATAGTTGTTTGGTCGGTTTTTATAACGACTAAGTGAATATTTTTGGTACATATTTAGATGATTTTATATATTTTGTTTAACTAAGAATTAATTGTTTATTTGTGTTTTATACTTGGAAAACGTCTTAAACTAAGAATATTGTTGAAATCGTAATAACCCAATGGATTTTTTTCGGGAAAACGTTTTGGAAACACTGTGTTCTATTTTGTATGTTTTTTTTTAATGGTTTTAGTGACAATTTTTGTGGTTGTTTTCGATACACTGTATGACATTAACAGTGAGAAAAAAAATAAACAATTAAAATAACCGAAAATTCGAAAAATCGAGAAATTTACTAATCGAAAAATCGAAACCTTAAAAAATCGTAAAACCGAAACATTGAAAAGTCGAAATATCGAAGAACTGAAAATCGAAAAAAGTCACAAATTCGGACAATTGGGACACCGAAATAGGTCAAAATCGAAAAATCGAAAAGTTAAAATAAAAATTGAACAATTTATAAATTGAGAAATTGATGAAGTCGAAAAATTGAAAAATAGAGAAATCGGCAAACAAAAAGTTAAAAGTTGAAAAATTGGAAAAGCGGAAAAATCAAAAAACGAAAAAATGGAAAACTGGAAAAACTGAGAAACCGAAATGGGCCAAAATAGAAAATTGAAAAAATGATAAATCGAAAACCTGAACAATCAAATCTCGAAAAATCGGGAATGAAAAATTAACAAATCGAAAAATTGAAAAACAGAACATCTAAAACCAGGAAGTCGAAAAATCGAAAGATTAAGAAATATTGAAAAATTACAATATCAAAAGATTGAAAAATCTAAAATTTAAAAATCCAAAAATTGAAAAATCGAAAAAAAAGGTAGACATCGAAAAACCCAGAAGTCAAAAATAGAAAAGCCGAAGAATTGAAATATTGAAAAATCCTAAAACTGAAAAATCGAAAAATCAAAAAAGTGAAGTCGAAAAATAGAAACCTTAAAAAATCGAAAAATTGAAAAATTAAAAACCTGACAAATCAAAAAATTAAATAATTGAAAAACAGGAAAATGGAAAACTGGAAGGTCAAGAAATAGGAAAATCTAAACATCGATTAATTGAAAAATCGGAAAATTGAGAGTTTATAAAAGGCAAATTTGAAAAATGAAAAAATCGAAAATTTGACAAAGTGACAATTGAAAAATAGAAAATCTAAAACCGGAAAATCGAAAAATCAAAAGATTAAGAAATCGAATTTTAAAAATTCGAAAACTTGAAAAATTGAAAGTGATTGAAATATCGAAGAACTGAAATGAAAAATAGAGAAATCGAAAAATCTAAAATTTTAAAAATGGAAAAATTGAAAAAGCGAAAAAGTAAAAAAATCGACACATCGAAAATTCCAGAAGCCAAAAATCGAAAAGTCGAAGAATCGAAATATTGAAAAATCCCAAAACTGAAATATCGGAAAACTGAAAAATGAAAGAAAAACTAAAAATGGAAATCAAAACATTAAAAAATCGAAAAATTTAAAACGACAATTGAAAACAGAAAATCTAAAACCGGGAAGTCGAAAAATCGAAAGATTAGCAATCGAAAAATCGAAAGATTAGCAATCGAAAAATTCAAAAATCGAAAAAGTAAAAAAATCGACACATCGAAAAAACCCAAAACTGAAATATGGAAAAACAGAAAAATGAAAAACCTGAAAAATTCGAAAACTGAAATATCCAAAAACTGAGAACCAAAAAATCGAAAAACTGAGAAATCGAAAAATCAAAAAAGTGAAGTTGAAAAATCGAAACCTGAAAAAATAGAAAAATAAAAAATCAAAAACCTGAAAAATCGAAAAATTAAAGAATTGAAGAACAGGAATATCGAAACCCTCGAAAGTCAAGAAATGGGAAATTCAAAACATCGATTCATTGAAAAATCTAAAATTTAAAAACCGAAATATTGAAGAAACGACAGTTGAAAAACAGAAAATCTAAAACCAGGAAGTCGAAAAATAGAAAGATTAAGAAATGTTGAAAAACCAAAATATCAAAAGATTGAAAAATCTAAAATTTAAAAATTCCAAAAATTGAAAAATCGAAAAAGTAAAAAGGTAGACACATCGAAAAACCCAGAAGTCAAAAATAGAAAAGCTGAAGAATTGAAATATTGAAAAATCCTAAAACTGAAATATCTAAAAACTGAAGAATCGAAAAATCAAAAAAGTGAAGTTGAAAAATTGAAACCAGAAAAAATAGAATAATAAAAAACCGAAACCTGAAAAATCGAAAAATTAAACAATTCAAGAACAGGAATATCGAAACATTCGAAGGTCAAGAAATGGAAAAATCGAAAAATTGAGAATTTATGAAAGTCAAATTTGAAAAATAAAAAAATCGAAAATTTGACACAATGACAATTGAAAAACAGAAAATCTAAAACCGGGAAGTCGAAAAATCAAAAGGTTAAGAAATCGAAACATTTGAAAAATTCGAAAACTTGAAAAATTGAAATATCGAACAACTGAAATGCAAAATCGAGAAATCGAAAAATCTAAAATTTTATAAATTAAAAAATCTAAAATTTAAAAATGGAAAAATTGAAAACCCGAAAAAGTAAAAAAAATCGACACATCGAAAAATCCAGAAGCTAAAAATCGAAAAGTCAAAGAATCGAAATATTGAAAAATCCCAAAACTGAAACATCGAAAAACTGAAAAATGGAAAACCTAAAAAATCCGAAAACTAAAATATCCAAAAACTGAGAACCTAAAAAGTCGAAAAATTGAGAAATCGAAAAATCAAAAAAGTGAAGTTGAAGAATCGAAACCTGAAAAATAAAAAAATTAATGAATTGAAGAACATGAAAATCGAAACATTCGAAGGTCAAGAAATGGGAAAATCAAAACATCGATTAATTGAAAAATCGGAAAATTGAGAGTTTATAAAAGTCAAATTTAAAAATAAAAAAATCGAAAATTTGACAAAATGACAATTGATAAACAGAAAATCTAAAATCGGGAAGTCGAAAAATCAAAAGATTAAAAATGGAAACATTCGAAAAATTCGAAAACTTGAAAAAGTGAAATATCTAAGAACTGAAATGAAAAATCGAGAAATCGAAAAATCTATAATTTTTAAAATTAAAACATCTAAAATTTAAAAATGGAAAAACTGAAAAATCGAAAAAGTAAAAAAATCGACACATTGAAAAATCCAGGAGTCAAAAATCGAAAAGTCGAAGAATCGAAATATTGAAAAACCCCAAAACTGAAATTTCGAAAAACTGAAAAATGAAAGAAAAACGAAAAGGACAAAAAAGGAGGAAAGGGACGCGAAAGGACGAAAAGGACGAAAAAGAACGAAAAGGACGAAAAAGACGAAAAAGAATAATAAGGACGAAAAACGACGAAAAGAACGAAAAGGACGAAACAGGAGGAAAAGGACGAAAAAGGACGGAAAAGACGAAAAGAGCGAAAAAGGGTGGAAAGGACGAAAAAGGACGAAAAAGTCGAAAAAGGACGAACAGGGAGGAAAAGGACAAAAAGGACGAAAAGGAGGTAAAGGACGAAACGGACGAAAAGGACAAAAAAGGACGAAAAGGGACGAAAAAGGACGAAAAGGACGAAAAAGGAAAATAAGGACGAAAAAGACGAAAAGGACAGTAAGGACGCAAAGGACGAAAAGAACGAAAAGGATGATAAAGGACGAAAAAGGACGAAAAGAACGAAAAAGTCAAAAATAGAAAAGCCGAGGAATTGAAATATTGAAAAATCGTAAAACTGAAATATCTAAAAACTGAAAAATCGAAAAATCAAAAAAGTGAAGTCGAAAAATAGAAACCTTATAAAATCGAAAAACTGAAAAATCAAAAAATTAAAGAACTGAAGAACAGGAAAATGGAACCACTCGAAGGTCAAGAAATGGGAAAATCAAAACATCGATTAATTGAAAAATAGAAAAATTGGCAAAATGACAATTGCAAAATAGAAAATATAAAACCGGGAAATCGAAAAACAAAAGATTAAGAAATCGAAACATTTGAAAAATTCGAAAACTTGAAAAATTGAAATATCGAAGAACTGAAATGAAAAATCTAAAAATCTAAAATTTTAAAAATTAAAAAATCTAAAATTTAAAAATGGAAAAATTGAAAAATCGGAAAAGTAAAAAATCGACATATCGAAAAATCCAGGAGTCAAAAATCGAAAAGTCGAATCGAAATATTGAAAAATCCCAAAACTGAAATATCGAAAAACTGAAAAATGAAAGAAAAACTAAAAATGGGGAACTAAATCGGGAAATCAAAACTTTGAAAAATCGAAAAATTTAAAACAATTGAAAACAGAAAATCTAAAACCGGGAGGTCGAAAAATCGAAAGATTAAGCAATCGAAAAATTGAGAAATCGAAAAAGTAAAAAAATCGACACATCGAAAACTCCAGAAGCCAAAAAACGAAAAGTCGAAGAATCAAAATATTGAAAAATCCCAAAACTGGAAAATGAAAAATCTGAAAAATCCGAAAACTGAAATATCCAAAAACTGAGAACCTAAAAGTCAAAAAATTGAGAAATCGAAAAATCAAAAAAGTGAAGTTGAAATATCGAAACCTGAAAAAATAGAAAAATAAAAAATCAGAAACCTGAAAAATCGAAAAATTAAAAAATTGAAGAACAGGAATATCGAAACCTTCGAAAGTCAAGAAATGGGAAAATCAAAACATCGATTAATTGAAAAATCGAAAATTTGAAAAAACGACAATTGAAAAACAGAAAGTCTAAAACCCGGAAGTCGAAAAATCGATTGATTAAGAAATCAAAACATTTGAAAAATTGAAATATGGAAGAGCTGAAATGAAAAATCGAGAAATCGAAAATTTTAAATATTGAAAATTTATAATACCAAAAATTTGAGAAATCTAAAATTTAAAAATCGAAAAAGTAAAAAGCCGACACATCGAAAAATCCAGAAGTCAAAAATGGAAAAGTCGAAGCACAGAAATATTGAAAAACCTCAAAACTGAAATATCCAAAAACTGAGAAATAAAAAATTTGAAAAATCGAGAAATCGAAAAATCAAAAAAGTAAGTTGAAAAATCGTCAAATAAAGAGTTTATAAAAGTCAAAAATTGAAAAATCGAAATATTTAAACATCGTAAAACTGAAGAGAAAAACTGAAAACCGAGAAATTGAAAAATTGAGAAATTGTAAAATCCAAAAATTGAAAAATAATAAAAAAACAACCACTGTTGCCAACATAAGTCGAGGAGTCATTTAATTTAAACTATGACGCTTCTCTATGTTCTCTGGTTTTACTATTTACATGATATACCTAATATGTGAATAGAAAATTTGACAACAATCCGCCCAGTACTTTCGGAGATTATCTGTCTAATAAAAATCCGGGATGGCAGACAGACGGAAACGGGAGACCTATTTCTTCGTTCTCTAGGGGTCATGATAGGTCGAAAAAATGCTTACGCTCGAGAAGTATATAAAAATCAATCAGTTTGACACGGGACTAATTTTTGTATTAAATTGTATGCCGCAGAATGCGCGCGCCTGCTTGTATACAAGAATTTAGAACCAGTTCTAATTTCTCGGATTCAATTTAGTACGAAAATTAGTCCTGTGTCATACGACTCTGCCAAAACTTTGCGAGTTTGTCCTAGTTTTGGACGACTCCACGCCAGCATGGACGAAGGTGTTTTTGATTGTCCGTAAAATCCATTTAATTATTATTTTTTCTGCAGACAACAAGTGTTTAAAAATATGGCAGATCTTCGTCATCGACATTTTTGAGGTCAAGTTAGTAAAAAAGTGTTTAATTTTTTTTACGGTTTATTTTATTTTTTTCTTGATTCTTCAAGTTTTGTCGTTCGTTCGCAAAGCTAGCGTTAATTATTTCGTCCAATTTGGACCGACATTTTTCATCATAGTTTATGTAAGTAAAGTAATAATTTATTTTTTTTTAACAATAATAATAATTTCTTGTAGTTGATTCTCTGCATCGTCACTTTATACTTTTCATCACCATTAATCGTTGCCTCTACAAAATATATGCGTTCGTGGAAAGTCCCAGTCAACCAACAGTGGAAAAGACAATACGACCAAAATTTGTTGCTAGTCACTGTATACTTAGTGGTGACTCTTTCTCTCGGGATGATCACAGCCTTCTTTTACGTTATGCCCACAGAACAAGACAAACAAGTTTTCTTCGAAAACGACGTAGCAGAAGCATATTTTCCGCAGTGGCAAAATTTCGTCATCTGGTTGTCGAAAATTGGCTTCGTACCTTTGACGTACATCTCCATAGTACAACCATCACTACGAATCGTTTATGGCTGGATGCATGCGAAGTTCCACATTTACAATTGTTTGTTTTTTCTGAAAAACATGACCGGCGACGATCGAGAAATCGCACGCAGTTTGAAATTTTGTCTGCGATACCACGTCGAAATTACCCTGTAAGCAAAAAAACCCCTTAAACTATCGAGTTTTATCCGCACGTTTCAGAATTGTGCGAAAAATCCTACGAGGTGTCCAAATTTACGTTTTGCCTTTTCAGATTGTGGGCACGGTTTTGATAGCGAATGTCGCTATATATTATTTTTGGGTACGTTTTTCGCTGGATTCTTCCTGTTGTAATTTTTTTTCAGTTTCAAGATGTCTTAACGGATCAGTATCTTCGCATATTTTCGTTGGGAATAACTGCATTTACTATTCTTTTCGGTCTCGCGCAAAGTGGTCAGGCGATCGAAGATGTCGTACGTATTCTCGGTTTCCGATTTTAAATAATTAAAATATTTTTCTAGTCGGATAATGTATTGGATGTGTTGATAAATCTAGATTGGTGCGACTGGAGCGAAAGCAATAAAAAGATGTATCTCATGTTTTTGGTGAACACTCAACGGCAGTTTAAAATGAAATATTCCGAAGATATTTCGTTGAATTATAAGATGGGGGTTGAGGTGAGTTTCGTGTTTTTGTAAGAAGGTTTATAAATGGGTTTGTTTTTTAGATGGTGAAGACTTTCTTTTCTATCATATCTGTAATGTCGAGGCTTCAGAAATAAGCATAATTTATATTAAAGCATTTCGAAGCCGTAAATCGATTCATTTTTGCTTAATAATAGAGAATTCAAGTCTCTAATGTTTATATCGATTAGTGTTTAATTTAATGACGTTATAAAATATTCTTAGGTTGTTAATGATGTTTCGCAATTACAGAGGTAATTTATATAAACGTCGTCTATTTTTGTGAACGAGTAGGTTTTTTAAAATAATGCTAAAGCTTTAAGGTAAAGGTATTTTTAACAAACCTCTAAACATTTGTTTTCAAGTTAATTCTTGATAATCGTAAGTTTCCTGACAGATGGAAGGTATCTAAAATTGGTCCCTTATTCAAAAGTGGCAATCGCTCGGCTATAGAAAATTATAGACTGCTTTCTATCCTGAATAACTTTGCAAAAGTTTTTGAGATGATTTTGGCTGATAATTTATCCTATCAATGTAAAAATCTTATTGTAGAGAATCAACATGGTTTTGTTCGAGGCCGTTCCAAAAGCGTTTGATCGACAAACTCATGCGATTTTTATCAGAAAACTAGCTAGCTGAGTTTGGCTGTTCAGATGAAAAGGACGAAAAAGAACGAAAAGGACGAAACGGGATGAAAAGGACGAAAAGGACGAAAGAGGACGAAAACGACGAACAAGGACGAAAAGAACGAAAAGGACGAAAAAGGACGGAAAGGACGAAAAAGGACGAAAAGGACGAGAAAGGAAAAAAAGGACGAAAAAGGATAATAAGGACGAAAAAGAACGAAACCGGACAAAAAAGACGAAAAAGGATAATAAGGATGAAAAAGGACGAAAACGGACGAAAAAGGACGAAAAGGAGGAAAAAGGACGAAATGGACAAAAAAGGACGAAAAGGACGAAACAGGATGAAAAGGACGAAAAAGGACGAAAAGGACGAAAAAGGACGAGAAGGACGAAAAGGACAATAAAGGTTAATACGAACGAAAAAGGACGAAAACGACGAAACAGGACAAAAAGAACGAAATAGGACGAAAAGGACGAAAAAGGACGAAACAAGACGAAAAGGACGAAAAAGGATGAAACAAAACGAAATGGACGAAAAAAGAAGAGAAGGACGAAAAGGACAAAAAGGACAAAAAAAGGACAAAAAAGGACGAAAAATAACGAAAGGACGAAGAGGATGAAAAGGACGAAAAGAAAGAAGAAGGACGGAAAGGACGAGAAACGTAGAAAAGGACGAAAAAGGATAATTAAGACGAAAAAGGATAATAAGGACGAAAAAGGACGAAACAGGGCGAAAAGGACAAAAAAGAACGAAGAGGACGAAAAAGGACGGAAAGGACGGAAATGACGAGAACGGAAGAAAAGGACGAAAAGGTTAATAAGGACCAAAAAGGATAATAAGGACGAAAAGGAGGAAAAAGGACGAAATGGACAAAAAAGGATAATAAGGATGAAAAAGGCCGAAAACGAACGAAAAAGGACGAAAAGGAGGAAAAAGGACGAAATGGACAAAAAGAACGAAAAAGGACGACAAGGACGACAAGGACGAAAAAGGACGAAAAAGGACGAAACAAAACGAAAAGGATGAAAAAAGAAGAGAAAGACGAAAAGGAAGACAAACAAGGACGAAAAAGGACGAAAAATGACGAAAGGACGAAGAGAATGAAAAGGACGAAAAAGGATAATTAAGACGAAAAAGGATAATAAGGACGAAAAAGGACGAAACAGGGCGGAAAGGACAAAAAAGAACGAAAAGGACGAAAAAGGGCGAAAAAGGACGGAAAGGATGAAAAGGACGAGAACGGAAGAAAAGGACTCCTTTTCGTCCTTTTCTTCCGTTCTCTCTTCTCTAAGGACGAAAAAGGATAATAACGACGAAAAAGGATAATAAGGACGAAAAAGGACGAAACAGGACAAAAAGGACGAAAAAGGAGGTAAAGGACGGAAAGTACGAAAACGGACGAAAAAGGACGAAAAGGACGAGAAGGACGAAAAAGTACGAAAAGGACGAAAAAGGACGAAAAGGACAAAAAAGGTCGAAAAGGACGAAAAACGATGAAAAAGACGAAAAAAGACGATAAGTACGAAAAAGGACGAGAAGGACGGAAAGGACGAAAAGGACAAAAAAGGTTAATAGGAACGAAAAAGGACGAAAAGGACGAAACAGGGCGAAAAGAACGAAAAAGGACGAAAAAAACGAAAACAACGAAATTGACGAAAAAGGATGAAAAGGACGAAAAGGACGAAAGGGACGACAAGGACGAAAGAGAACGAAAAAGGACGAAGGACGAAAAAGACGAAAAAGGACAAAAAAAGGACGAGGTTGAGGATTATGCTGTTCTGAGGATTTGAGTATTCTGGTGTTCTGAGGATTTGAAGATTAGTGTTCTGAGAATTTGAGGATTATGGAGTTCTGAGGATTTGATGATGATGGTGTTTTGAGGATTTGGGGATTATGGTGTTTTTAGGATTTGAGGATAATGGTGTTTTGATAATTTGAGGATTATGGAGTTTTGAACATTTGATAATTTTGGAGTTCTGAACAATAATAAAGACGAAAAAGACGAAAAGGACATAAACAACAAAATTGACGAAAAAGGATGAAAAGGACGAAAAGGACGAAAAAGGATAATCAGGATGAAAAGAACGAAAAAGGACGGAAAAGAATAATAAGGACGAAAAAGGATACTAAGGACGAAAAAGGACGAAAGAGGACGAAAAAGGACGAAAAAGGATAATAAGGACGAAACAGTACGAACAAGGCCGAAAACGGACGAAAAAAGACGAAAAAGGATAATAAGGACGAAGAAGGACGAAAGAGGACGAAAAGGACGAAAAAGGACGAAGTACGAAAAAGGATAATAAGGGCGAAAAAGTACGGAGAAGGATAATAAGTACGAAAAAGAACGAAAAAGGACAAGAACGGATAATAAGGACGAAAGAGGACGAAAAGGACAAACAAGGACGAACAAGGACGAAAAGGGACGAAAAAGGATAATAAGGACAAGAAAGTACGAAAAAGGATAATAAGGACGAAAAAGGACGAGAAAGGAAGAAAAAGTACGAAAAGGGATAATAAGTACGAAAAAGAACGAAAAAGGACAAGACAATGTAATAAGGACGAAAAATGACGAAAAAGGATAATAACCACGAAAAGGACGAAAAGGGACGAAAAGGGACGAAAGAGGACGAAAAAGGACGAGAAAGGACGAAAAAGGACAAACAAGGACGAAAAAGGACGAAAAAGGAGGAAAAAAACGAATAAGGGCGAAAAAGGATAACAAGGACGACAACGAACGAAGGAGGAAAATAAAGACGAAGAAGGACGAAAAAAGTACGTAAAAGGACGAAGAGAACGAAAAAGGACGAAAAAGGATAAAGAGGACGAAAAAGGACGAAGGTGGATAATAAGGACGAAAAAGGACGAAAAATAATAATAATAATAATAATAAGTTTATTGTCCCACAGGTTTCCCTAATTACAGGACAAAATATAAAAAATACATAATAATAAATATACAAATAACTAAGGACGAACAAGAACGAAAAAGGACGAAAAAGGACGAAAAAAAACGAACAAGGACGAAAAAGTATAATAAGGACGTCGAAGTACGAAAGAGGAAAATAAAGACGAACAAGGACGAAAAAGGACGAAAACGACGGAAAGAGATAAGGATGAAAAGGGAAGAAATAGGACGAAAAGGACGTAAAAAGACGAAAAGGACGAAAACGACGGAAAGGCATAAGTTGGTCGAAAAGGGAAGAAACAGGACGAAAAATGACGAAAAAGGATAATAAGGACGAAAAAGACGAAAAAGGATGAAGAAGGACGAAAGAGGACGAAAAAGGATAATAAGGACGAGAAAGGATAATAAGGACGGGAAAGTACGCAGAAGGATAATAAGGACGGAAAAGGATGAAAAAGGACGAGAAAGGACGAAAAAGGGTAATAAGGACGAAAAAGGATAATAAGAACGAAGAAGGACGAAAAAGGACGAACAAGGACGAAAAAGGATAATAAGGACGGGAAAGTACGCAAAAGGATAATAAGGAGGAAAAGGGACGAAAAAGGACGAAAAAAAAAAACGAATAAGGACGAAAAAGGATAATAAGGACGTCGAAGTACGAAAGAGGAAAATATAGATGAACAAGGACGAAAAAGGACGAAAAGGACGAAAAAGGACGAAAACGACGGAAAGGGATAAGGACGAGAAGGGAAGAAATAGGACGTAAAGGACGAAAATGGATAATAAGGACGAAAGAGGACGGAAAGGACGAAAAGGACGTAAAAAGACGAAAAGGACGAAAACGACGGAAAGGCATAAGTTGGTCGCAAAGGGAAGAAACAGGACGAAAAGGACGAAAAAGGATAATAAGGACGAAAAAGGATGAAAAGGACGAAAAAGTCCGAAAAAGGATAATAAGGACGAAAAAGACGAAAAAAGACGAATAAGGACGAAAGAGGACGAAAAAGACAATAAGAACGAAAAAGGATAATAAGGACGGGAAAGTACGCAAAAGGATAATAACGACGAAAAAGGACGAGAAAGGACGAAAAAGGATAATAAGGACGAAAAAGGATAATAAGAACGAAAAAGGACGAAAAAAGACGAACAAGGACGAAAAAGGATGATAAGGAGGAAAAAGGACGAAAAAAAAACGAATAAAGACGAAAAAGGATAACAAGGACGACAAAAAACGAAAGAGGAAAATAAAGACGAAGAGGGACGGAAAAAGACGTAAAAGGACGAAAAAGAACGAAAAAGGACGAAAACGACGGAAAGGGATAAGGGCGAAAAGGGAAGAAATGGGCTGAAATGAACGAAAAAGGATAATAAGGACGAAAAAGGACGTAAAGGACGGAAAGGACGTAAAAAGACGAAAAGGACGAAAACGACGGAAAGGAATAGGTTGGTCGTAAAGGGAAGAAACAGGACGAAAAGGACGAAAAAAGAAAATAAGGACGAAAAAGGATGAAAAGGACGAGACAGGACGTAAAAGACGAGAAAGGTTGAAAAGGACGAAAAAGGACGAGGTTGAAGATTATGCTGTTCTGTGGATTTGAGGATACTGGTGTTCTGAGGATTTGAAGGTTATAGTGTTCTAAGAATTTGAGGGTTATGGCGTTCTGAGGATTTGAGGATGATGGTATTTTGAGGATTTGGGGATTATGGTGTTTTTAGGATTTGAGGATAAGAGTGTTTTGATAATTTGAGGATTATGGAATTTTGGACATTTGAGGATTATGGTGTTCTGAGGATTTGAGGATTATGAGATTCCTATTTGTCTTGCTATAAATCTTTGGCTCACATGCGGGTTGTTTTCTACGGCTTCAATTACACGAATTTCATTTTCGACAGCAGCACCAGTAAGTCCTCTATTTCTTGTTTCTTTCGTCCAATTTTGTCTTAACGTTTTTTCTAAATATGTAAAGATTTGGTCGGATGGATGATGGATGTCGCCTATCGGAATATCTTCTTTCGTAGAGATTTGCTGCTGCAACGACATTTTTTCCGCATTCTCCAAAAATCAAGATCATATGAACCTTTTCATCGTTCGTGTATTTAACCCTCATTTTATCGCGAAGACCAAAACAATTATCGGAGCTCAAAATTGACAAGTAGAATTATTGCGAAAGTCAAAATTAACCACTAGGTAATTAGAAAAATAAAATATAGAAAGTGTTACATATTATGAGATATGTAAATATTTTGTTTTGCAATGAAATTTGGTCAGGGTCCCGTTAATATAATATTCACCCGGTATAAAATTGGCAAATTATAGATAAAAAATCTTGTGTTTGATTATTATTATCGTCGTATTAATTCTCGAACATGTAGTATTTTTACTCAAAAACACTGTGTTAAGTAAACTTTCGCAGATAATTTCACTTATAGTCTCATATTTTTTACTAATAAATTTACAGTCTGTACAAATTTTGCCATTGACAACTATTGATTGTCGTAGTATTTCGATGGCCGCAGTGATTTATGTGAGTTTAAGCAAGCTTGTGTTTGTGTGTTTGTGTGTCCAGAAACAAACTTTCGTATGCTTGGCCGTAAACATTACGCTATAGATTTTCGCTTATTTTCAATGTTTTTATCAAATATTCGTAGCCACTATTACGACAATATTTACACCCCTACGGTCCTTTCAAAACTTTGCGAGTTTGTCCTAGTTTTCGACGACTCCACGCCAACATGAAAGGTATTTTTGATCGTTCGTAAAATACATTTAACTATTATTTTTTTGCAGACAACAAGTATTTAAAAATATGGCAGATCTTCGTCATCGACGTCTTTGAGGTCAAGCTAGTAAAAAATTGTTTATTTTTTTTAACGGTTTATTTTATTTTTTGCTTGATTCTTCAAGTTTTGTCGTTCGTTCGCAAAGCTAGCGTTAATTATTTTGTCCAGTTTGGACCGACATTTTTCATCATAGTTTATGTAAGTAAAGTAATAATAATTTTTTTTTATAATAATTGTTTCTTGTAGTTGATTCTCTGCATCTTGTCTTTGTACTTCTCAGCACCATTAATCATCTCTTCTACAAAATACATGCGTTCTTGGAAAATTCCAGTGAACCAACAGTGGAAAAGACAATACGACCAAAATTTGTTGATAGTCACCGCATACTTAGCGGTGACTTTTTTTCTCGGGATGATTACAGCTTTCTTTTATGTTATGCCCACAGATCAAGACAAACAAGTTTTCTTTGAAAACGACGTAGCCGAAGTATATTTTCCCAAGTGGCAAAATTTCGTCATCTGGTTTTCGAAAATTGGCTTCGTACCTTTGACGTACATCTCCATAGTGCAACCTTCACTGCGAATCGTTTATTGCTGGATGCATGTGAAGTTCCACATTTACAATTGTTTGTTTTTCCTGAAAAACATGACCGGCGACGATCGAGAAATCGCACGCAGTTTGAAATTTTGCCTGCGATACCACGCCGAAATTACTCTGTAAGCAAAAAAATCCGTTGAACTACGACTTTTATCTGCACGTTTCAGAATTCTGAGAAAAATTCTACGAGGTGTCCAAATTTACGTTTTGCCTTTTCAGATTGTGGGCACGGTTTTGATCGCGAATGTCGCTATTTATTATTTTTGGGTACGTTTTTCGCTCTATTCTTCCTGTTGTAATTTTGTTTCAGTTTCAAGATGTCTTAACGGATCAGTATCTCCGCATATTTTCGTTGGGGATAACGGCGTTTATTATTCTTTTCGGACTCGCGCAAAGTGGTCAAGCGATCGAAGATGTCGTACGTGTTTCTCGTTTTACGATTTCAAATAGTTAAGATATTTTTTCTAGTCGGATGATATATTGGATGTGTTGATAAATCTGGATTGGTGCGACTGGAGCGAAAGCAATAAGAAGATGTATCTCATGTTTTTGGTGAACACTCAAAGGCAGTTTAAAATTAAATATTCCGAAAGTATTTCGTTGAATTATAAGATGGGGGTTGAGGTGAGGTTTGTGCTTTTGCATGAAGGTTTATAAATGGGTTTGTTTTTTAGATGGTGAAGACTTTCTTTTCTATTATATCTGTAATGTACAGGCTTCAGAAATAGAAATAACTATAATTCGTATTAATAGAGAATTCAAGTCTCTAATGTTTATATCGATTAGTGTTCAATTTAATGACGTTATAAAATATTCTTAGGTTTTAATGATGTTTCTCAATTAAATAATGACACAATTTATAAACATTGTCTATTTTATTTGTGAACAAGTAGGTTTTTTAAATTACTCCTATTACCAAAGTAGGTATTATTTACTCATAGACATAGTGAATGAAAAGATAATAAGAAATAGTGTTATTTTTTAGTTAAAGTTATTGTCAATGAGTTGTCTCATTTCTATATCGATCACCGATTCGAAATCGCAACTACAGAAAAATGAGGCCAGACAGTCGGGACTAGACCACAAAATAAGTAATTTATACTGGTTATTAGGTGTATTCTTTGACCATGAATTATCTAATCAATCAATTAAATCAAACTGTCAAAGCACTTCAAGTTTAATTGAAACAAACAAAGTACTTAACACAAGGTTACACGCGCTTGCGGGGATTCCCCGCACAAAACGCTTGTTTTGTTATAGGTTTTTTAATTATGCAGGCATCGATTTTCTGCCGCCTGACTTTTAATTTTTTTGAAGCTCTGTCAGATGGTTTATATAAATATAATATATACAAAAGTTTTTCAGTTTTTTTTGTTTTTATTCATATATTACACACTGCGTCATATATTTTTTTTAACTTTGATTGTTTTTGAAACTATGATTTTGATTTCATGGAGAAAAAAGTTTACACAACATAAAAACAAAAAGGCAAAATGTAAGCCCGCCCACCCTCTCATTTGTTATGATTTTTTTTATTCACCGTGAGCCAAAAGTGCGGAACTTAACTGCAAGATATTTATTACGTCACACAAGAAATTAAAAACATGTTTTTGAGTATCGCGTTGTTCAAAGAATACTATGTATATAAAGAAAAAAGCCAAAATATAAACCCCGCTCACCCACCCCATCTTAATTGTTATGATTTTTTTTAGAAACTTAAAAATACGTTTAAAATGGTAAATTTTTGTTAAGGAAATATGCAATTAAATTCCGTTCCTTTGGCTCTCGACAATTAAAAAAAAAGGATCATCACAATTGAGATAGGGCGGGTGGGTGGGGCTTATATTTTGCTATTTTGCTTAAGATGTGTAGTCATCTTTTCACAACAAGAAACTTAAAACATGTTTAAAATGGTAAATTTGTATAGGGAAATATCGATTTTGTAAAAATGCTCCGCCCCTCGGTCTAACAACGAATGAAAAATTCATCACGATTGAGATCGAGACGGATGGGTGGAGCTTCTCTTTTACTTTTCTTTTTTGATTAATACCTTCAGTTGTCTTTGTATGACACAATTACATATTTCACAGGTAATTTCTCGTAGAAAAATAAAGATTTTAAAATTAAACTTCACTCCTGGGTTTACGACGAATAAAAAAAATCATCAGAATTGAGATTGGGCGGGTGGGCGGGGTGTATATTTTGCCTTTTTTTTTGTTAATATGCATAGCCATATTTGTACAACAAGAAACTTAAAACACGGTTAAAATGGTACATTTTTGCTAGGAAATATTGATTTTACAATTATGGGGTTGAGCCTAATCGACATTTCCTTATACAAATTTTCCATTTTAAACATGTTTAAGTTTCATGTTGTGATGAAAAAAAGTCTACACATATTAAAACAAAAAGTCAAAATGTAAGCCCGCCCACCCACCCTGTCTCAATTGTGATGATACTTTTTATTCGTCGTGACTGCAAAATACTTATTGCTTTACAAGAAATTAAGAACATGTTTTTGAGTATCGGGTTGTTCAAAAAATACTGTGTATATTAACAAAAAACGCCAAAATATTGAAAGTGGTCAAAACACGTCAGGTTTAACTGAAATACACAAAGTACTTAATAAACATAACCACCGCTATTCATTCGTGCCCTCTGTACTGTTTTCACAAAATATTTTGTAGATATAATGAATTCTCAAAATTATGTTATTAGTAGTACAATACACGAAGGCAACATTATCTTTAGAATCCTGAAAACCATCTGAACTTTTATAAAATATTCCTAACGTGTTAACGATGTTTTCAAAGTTGAGTGCTTATATAAGCAACCACTTGAATAAAACGTGCTGAGCCTCTCATAGATCTGGACAAGTTATAATTAACCAAATGTGAATTACAACATCGAAAATCAAAATAAAATGTAGTATTTTATTCAATACGCGGAAGTCAGAGCAATAAAAAAGTCTGGACCGTCGGCATTGCAATTCGTAAAAAACATATTTCAGTTTAGTTTCTGTTTCAATCTCACGTCTACAGGTTGATAAGTGTCATCGCTATTTGTCTTAAATTACGAATATCATAAATCATTTTCAGTTCAGTCTTCAGTGGCGCCTCTACAAGGTACAATCTGAAATAATTTATTAAGTAAATAAAGTCACCAGAAAATTTTACGTGAGTTTACTTTGCGAGAGCACTTTTGAAGCGAAAAATAAAAACACAACCGATTTTATCATTGTTATGCTGTTGGACGATCACATAAAAGTATGATACTACACTTGTTAATTTTTGCTAGGTAGGTACGTATATATATTGTTTTTGAAAATTAATTATCTAATCAAATCGTTTCACAATTTTAACTGCGTTAGATTTTTTTGAACTTAATAATGTGTTTTTAAAACTACGACTTTGCGGATTTGATGGAGAGGGGACTTGTGTTTTTGGATTTTCCGAGTATAAATACATGAATACTCGAAAACGGTCAATGCACTTCAAGTTTAATCGAAACAAACAAAGTACTTAAAGGTGTTTGTTTCTTTTGGAAGATCTAAATATGTATGTACTGCAACGGCCAAGACGAAATTGGAAAAATTATAATATGTGATCTTCGGTATCATAGCCCGATTTGTGGGCAACATTTTTGAATATGTAGTGAATTAATGGTAGAAATTTGTGTTTTAGAATTTCACAAGAAATTTTACGAAACGTTCAAGCTTTTTTTTTTCAGGTGACTGGCCTACTTTTGTTAGCTAATGTCGTCATTTATTATTATTGAGTGATAGTATTATCAATGAACTAGTTTCTGTAATTAAATATTTCTGCTGTAGTTTCAACATATATTAGCTGATGAGTATCTAAGAATCATATTAGTAAAAGTTACAACTTTCATTGTGTTTTTCGTCTTACCAAACCAGGACAAGCAGTTGAAGCATAATTTTAAATATCTCTGATATTTTTGATATTTCATTACACGTTAATTGGAAAAGAAAGAAAATGTACCTCATGTTGTAGACAAATACTCAAAAACAATTTAAAATCAAGTATATTTATAAAATATTTCCTTAAATTAGGTATAAGATGGGTGTTGAGGTGAGTTTTGTGCCTTTCTAAGAAGGTTTATAAGCGTATTTGTTTTTTAGAAAGTGAAAAAACTTTCTTTTCTATCATATCTGTAATGTCGAGGTTTCAAGGTAACTATAATTATTTTCGAAACTGTAAATCGATAAATTCTTGCCACTTTTACGTTTTCTCGATCTTTTATGACCCCGACAGTACGAAGAAATATGTCTCCCTTTTCCTGTCTGCCGTCACAGATACTTGTCAAATTTTGTATTTATATTAGGAATATTCACGTATATGGTAAATCGCTAACCAAAATTTGTCTAATCATCCCCACCAATAATGCGATGACATCATTTCAGAATTGTACATATATATGTAACGATATTAAATTATAAAGCGGAATTATTAAAATTCCCATATCGAAAACAACGTTAATCAAGATAATGAAAAACTGAAAGAGTTTGCAACTGAAATAGCACATCACATTTTTTATTAGATAAACGGTATCCATTTACAAAAAATAAAGTACTGATACTATACTTCCATCAATCTTTTTGAAAAATAAATGTAATTATCTGTCGTAATCAATAAGAAATGTTATTTTTTAGTTGAAATTATTTTCAATGAGTTTCTGCATCGATCACAGATTGTAATTCACAACCACAGCTATATATACTTATTGAAGTGTAGTTAGAATATAACTTAGTAATTTCTGCTTCCATTTCCTCCGAATTAGGACTGTTGTAGTTGAAAACTATCTCTTCAGTTTTATCCCAAAGGAACCAGACCCATTTAGGCACGGGATTTTACCATCATTCAAATACAGTTCAATCTGATTTCCTTCTTTATTTGTTAAAGTAGCAAGCCCCAGAGTGGATCTACGTAAGATGATTCTGTCGATGTTTGAACTATTAGATATACGATCGCACCAAGTCGATCTTTTTTAACCCAAAGTGGAACAACGTTCATAACATCAAAATAAATATCAAACTGCATTCCTTGACGAGTTTCCGATTAACTCATCATTGTTATGCTGTCGGACGATCACATTAAAGTATGATACTTCTATATGTATCCTAATCAACTAGGTATTGTTTTTGAAAATTAATTATCTAATCAAATCGCTGCACAATTTTAACTGCGTCATAAGGGGACATCTCAAAATTTTGCCGAATAAATTCTACCCAAAATGTTAAGTTTTTACTTGTGATGGGAAAATACAAACGTCTTCATTTAATAAGAATTATAATAAAGATATTCAGGACATTTTGTCGGTTGTAGTTTACCACATACCAGTTTTGATCCTCTGTTTTGAGGGGATGAACTCATTCAAATCGAACTAATGTCTATGTGACATTCTTCCGATGTATAAACATAAACACTTTCAAACATAAAGCGCTGTTGCTACGTATACTTTTATCAGACTTTTGTAGCAAAACAAATTAAAATGTATTTATCGGTAGTGATTAAAATAAATGAAAAGATATTAAGAAATAATGTTATTTTTTAAATAAAGTTGTTATCAATGAATTGTTTCATTTCTCTGTCTTCAGTATCATAACCAAATGTGTCGGTGAGATTTTTGGATATGTAATGAATAAATGTTTGAAATTTGTGTTTTAGAATTTCACAAAAAAAATTTGTAGTTTATGTTTTACCGTTTCAAGCGATTGGCACACTTTTGATAGCAAGAATTTAGAAGTAACCATAATTTTGTTGAAGCGGTGTCAAATCCGGTAATCCGGCAGGCCACGGAATAGTATCCCTTCGACCCTTCCATCTGCCAGGAAAAGTTTCACTTAAGTACCTACTGTCGCACTTGACGACCAAAATGGGTCTAGTTGGAACCAAATAGTGCTGGTACTCCGGATTTTGGTTTTTTACCACTTCCAGTTTCATTAAATCTTCATAGATAGGGTTCTTGAAATCGTGGACTTAGAAATTAGTTGTCGTTCAGGATGAATTTCATTGAAAAGTGTTACTACTTGAGCAAAACTTCGTCGTTTGTCACCGTAACCGGTAATCATTAATAATTCTGTGCGCTGACTTATCACATAGATGCACCATTTTTTTGAGAAATAGTTTTATTTTATTATTTTCAAAGGTAACTATGATTAAAAGTGTTCACATTTTGCACATTCGGCAAAATTTTGAAATGCCGTAATCAATTTTTTGGGGTTGATAAACAGATACATTTTCCCTAAAAATTTACCATGCTTACAATAACTTCAAAACGTCGAGATTTCAAAGTGTTCAGTTTTGCAATTCTTGATTTAATCAATAAAATAAATTGACTCAGTCATTAATTTTTTTCACACCCCGTATAAGCAAATCTAAAAAATATTTATGCAGTGATAAATCACAATTATCGACTCATCATACTTTACACAATGCACATTTAAGATAGCATATTTCCTGATTAAATAAATCAAATGTATTCACGCATTCATTATTTTTTTTGAGTCACCCTGTATATACAAATCCAAAAAATATGAATGGAATGATAAATTACAAGTACAGACCCATCATATTTTCTACATTTTAGATACCATTTATTCGGGAAACTTTTGAGGTGACGTCATCAATTTTTTGGCCCCTTTTTTAAATAATGGGATTATTTTTCTTCTCTCCACTGCTGAGAATTCAGTCTTTCAATCTGTCTTCCTATTTCATCTTCTGTTATTTCCGAACCTCTCCACATTTCTGCCGTCGTTGTGATTCCTTTATTTATTTTGCAGCGTTTTTCCTCACAACCTCCCAATAATTCCAAAAAGCCTTTTTTCCATTCATGTATTTTGATTTTCCTACTGACTTCAGTTTTCCTTCTTCGTTCCTTGTTTATATATCTCCATACTTCTTCTTCTGTTTTCAGGGACTTTATTGTCTTCTCTTCTTCTTCTCGTTTTTCTCGTTTTCTTTCTTCCCATTATCTCCTATACTTCCCTTGTTAGTCTTCCATTTTCTTAATTTTTCCCTTGCTTTTCTCTTCAACTCACTACAATCTCCCTTCCATCCATTATTCCTCCCTTCCCATATGTATATCTTTCTTTTTTCCGTAGCTTCTACAATTAGCTTGCTCAGTTCTGCTGTCATAGTTTTGGCCATTTGTGCAACATGTATATCAATAGTGAATGGTTTTTTAATAAAATAACGATCACTAGTTAAATTAATAATTTTTGAAGTGGTTTCGCGAAATTTTGCATCACTTCTGCATCCGGTTTCATGTTCATATTGTTTAATTGTTTATTTCTCTCTCTTTTTGTATATAGCCCGGCTTTTCATGCCAATGTTCAGACCGGTCTCGGTGACCTCGACACCGACACCGAGCTCGTAGCTCCAACTCTACCGACGCGTGTCGTATACGTGTTCTAATATTACGACAAGAAAGGAGTTAAAACTCCAATAAGAATTATAATATTCGGAACATTTTGTTCGATTGTGGTTTAAACAATAATTTTAGTCCTGTGTTTTGAGAAGATAAACTCATTCAAATCGAACTATTTTTTATGTGACATTCTTTCGATGTAAATGTAAATAAACACTTGAGCGTCAGATTGCTACAGGTGTTGAAGGACAAGGATTGTTAGAGATGGGTTATTTTAAGTTCAACATGGTGAGTCATCAGAATCTGGCAACGGACTGTCAGTCAGTAGCGTAAAATGCACACTTCTGAAGGGGGAAATAAATGAAAAGATAATAAGAAATAATGTTATTTTTTAATTAAAGTTGTTATCAATGAATTGTTTCATTTCTTTATCGATCACATCGTTGAACTCACAAATACATAATACTAAGAAAATGCATCCGGGACTATAACATAAATTAGTGAATTCGTTTTCGGCTTCGTCCGGATAAGGACCGTTGTAGTAAAAACCTATCGCCTCCATTTCATCCCAAACCAACCACAGCCATCGAGGAACCGGAATTTTACCATCGTTCAAATAAAGTTCAGTTTCCTCGTTATCTGGTACAGTGATAACACCTAGAGTGCCTGAAATGACAGTCTGACCTGTGTAACTTGAGTCAGCCACTGATACGAGGACTATTTGCATGAGCGCTTCAACTGATTCTTCTATGTTCCATACCGGTACAACATTCATGTAGTCAAAATAAGGGACATACTGCAATCTTTGACGATTGTTTGGAGAAGTTATTTGGGATAGGAAGCCCATTGTCAAAGGAAATCTCGCTAAGGAGAGATCATCGATCCCTAGATCGTGTAAAATTTCTGCCTGATTATTGTAGACGGCATCCACATCCACATCCACATCAAAGTAGACATTTCCGCTGTTGACCCACTCACAAGGAATTTCGTCACATATCAATGATTCTTCATAAGTATGCTTTATTTTTCCAGACCACTGTGCATCCGATAACAAAGTGTTGTTATATTTGGAATAAATCGGTGCTAATTTCACTTCGTCGAAACAAACCGTGACCATAGAGACAAACTCGTTGTAAACGTTGAATCCTATTTCAAAAAGAGTACCGTTGGTCCAACATTGCTGGTCTATTTTTTTTACAGTCGCAGGCCCAGTGGGTTTACATTTGATATCAGTAAAATCGAATATTTCTACAGTTCTAATATTAAGTACGTTCGTGCCGCTTTTACAAGCTAGATTGTCACCTTCTTCGTCAATGTAGGTACTGCGAGTACCCACAGGACACACAGCGTAAAAAAGTACATTATTTTGAAAACTCAGGGATTGGTTTTTATCGAATATAGGAACCGTGAAGTCCTCGTTAAGAATAAGAGGCGATTCGGGATCAGAAAGATCCAAGGTACAATCTGAAATAATTTATTAAATAAATAAATAACGTTACCAGAAAATTGGACATGGGATTACTTTGCGAGAACACTTTTGAGACGAAAAATAGAAGCACGACTGATTTTATCATTGTTATGCTGTCGGACGATCACATAAAAGTATGATACTACACTTATTAATTTTCGTTAGGTAGGTTATATATCTACCAATCTATTAGGTGGAGTCTTTGAACATGAATTATCTAATCCTAATCAAATAGTTTCACAGTTTTAACTGCGTATAATTGTTTTCTATTTAATAAAGTATTTTTAAAACTATGACGGAGAGTAAAATACCATGAATGCTTGAAAACGCTTAGAGCACTTCAAGTTTAATTGAAATAAACAAAGTACTTAAAGTTTTGGAAAATCTGAATATGTACTGTAACGGTCAAGACGAAACTGGTAAAAGGGTAAAGTGTTGTCTTCGGCATCATAGCCACTTTTCCAGACTAGTAAGTTTCAGTTTCGTAATCAGGTTGCAAGTTATTATGGAATAATTTGATTATTATTATTTAGTAATTTAAATTTAAATTATTATTTATATTTATTTATATTCATAAGTAATTACTTAAGGAATTAATTTTAATTAATTAGTTTTTATTATTGTAAACTTATTTTTTGTTAATTTTTAAAAATTTCAAAAATTCGAGAGATTCTAAAGATTCTAGAAATTCTTGAAAAATTCCAAATTCTGAAACTGTTAAAGATTCTAAAGAGTCCAAGTTTTAGAGTTTAGATTCTGGAAATTCTAATTGTTCTAAAGACTCCAAGAAATTCAACTCAAGCAGTTCCAGTAATTCTAGGGATTAGAGATTCTAAAGCTTCGAAAAATTTTAGAAATCCGAAAAATTCTAGTAATTTTAAAGTTTCTACGAGATCTTAGAGATTACAAAAAAAATTCAAGGGTTTAGAGTTTGGCAGTTCCAGCAATTTTAGAGATTCTAAAAATTCGAGGGATTGTGAAGATTCTAGAGATTCTGGAGATTTTAGAGATTTTGAAGATTCTAACGGTCTTAAGATTTTAATAAATCCAAAGTTTTAGAGTCTAGCAGTTCCATCAATTCTAGAGATTCGAAAAATTCCGAAAATTCCAGAAATTCTAAAGATTCTAGAGATTTTATAGATCCTAAAAGTTCAAAGAAATTCACAGCGATTCTAGTAATTCTAGAGATTCTATACGCTCTAGAGGTTTTGAAAGCACTGGAAAGTTTGGAAATGATAAAAATTCTACAGATTATAAAGATTCGAGGAATTCAAAAAATTCCAAAAATTCAAGAGATTCTAGAGAAAATTATGGAGAGGCAAAAGATTATGGATTCTAAAGATTTTAGAAGTTCTAAGGATTCAGGAGATTCTAATGATTCTAGCAATTCTTAAAATTTTCGTGATTGTGAAGATGTTAAAAATTCCAAATAGTCCAAGAAATCCAAAGTTTTAGAATTCCAGAAATTCTAGATACTCTAAAAATTTTAGATTCTAGTGGTTTTAGAGCTTCTAGAGGTTCTGGGAGACTCTGGAGATGTTAGAGATTCTGGAAATTCTAATGGTTCTAAAGACACCAAAATATCCAAGTCGTGTGGTTCCAGTAATTCTAGGGATGAGAGATTCTAAAGCTTCGAAAATTTTTAAAAATCCGAAAAATTCTAGAAATTTTAAAGTTTCTACAAGATCTAGAGATTTTCTGTAGATGTTAGTTAAAGATTCTTGAGATTCTAAAAATTTCGATAAATTCAAGTGTTTAGAGTTCAGCAGTTCCAGCAATTCTAGAGATTCTAAAAATTCTAGAAGTTCTACATGTTTTAAGGGTTCTAGAAATATTGGAGATTCTAAAGATTCTAAAGGTTCTAAGGATGCAAGAATTTCTAAAACTTCCAAAAATTCGAGAGACTAAAAATTCGAGAAATTCTAGAAATTTTCCAGATTCTGAAAATAGTAGAGATTCTAAAGAGTTTAAGAAATTTAAGGTTTTAGAATTTACCGGTCCCAGAAGTTCTAGAGTTTTAGCGGTTTTAGAGCTTCCAGAGGTTCTAAAGACTCCAAAAAATCCAACTCAAGAGGTTCTAGTAATTCTAGGGATTAGAGATTCTAAAGCTTGGAAAAATTTTTGACATTTTAAAGTTTCTACAAGATCTAGAGATTTTAGAGATTCTAGAGATTATGAAAATTCTGGTGATTCTGTAGATGTTAGTTAAAGATTCCGGAGATTCTAAAAATTCCGATAAATTCAAGGGTTTAGAGTTCCAGCAATTCTAGAGATTCTAAAAATTCTCGAAATTCCAAAAATTCTAGGAGTTCCAAAGATTCTAGAGATTATGGAGATTTTGAAGATTCTAAAGATCTCGAAGATTTTAAGAACTCAAAAATCTTAGAGTCTAGCAGTTCCATTAGCTCTAGAGATTAGAAATTCCAAAAATTCTAGAAATTCTAAAGATTCAAGAGATTCTAGAGGTTTTAGAGATTTTCGAAATTCCAGAGTTCCTAAGGATTTTAAAAAATGAAAAGTTTTAAAGCCCAGCGCTTCTAGAAATTCTCGAGATTCTAAAGATTCTAGAGATTTAACGATTCTACAAGTTCTGGAGATGCTGAAAATTCGACAGATTCTAAAGATTCGAGAAATTCTTGAAATTCTACATGTTTTAAGGGTTCTAGAAATATTGGAGGTTCTGAAGATTCTAGAGGTTCTAAACATTCTAGAGAAAATTATGGAGATATAAAAGATTCTGGATTCTAAAGATTCTAGAGGTTCTAAGGATTCAAGAATTTCTAAAAATTAAAAAAATTGGAAACACTAAAGATACGAGAAATTCTAGAAATTTTCCAGATTCTGAAAATTAGAGATTCTCCAAGAAATCCAACTCAAGCGGTTCTAGTCATTCTAGGGATTAGAGATTCTAAAGCTTGGAAAAATTTTAGAAATCCGAAAAATTTTAGACATCGTAAAGTTTCTACAAGATATTAGAGATTCTAGAGATTATGAAGATTTTGGTGATGTTAGTTAAAGTCCCCGGAGATTATCAAAAATCCAATAAATTCTAGAACATTTAGAATCTCCAGAATCTTTTGTACCTAGGGAAGCTCCAGAACCTCTACAATATATAAAACGTATAGAGTTCCTAGAATATCTAAAATTTTTAACTAACATCTACAGAATCACCAGAATCTTCACAATCTCTAGAATCTCTAAAATCTCTAGAATTTGTAGTAGCTTTAAAATTTTTAGAATTTTTAGACTTTTTAAAATTTTTCAAAGCTTCAGAATCTCTAATCCCTAAAATTACTAGAACCGCATGAGTTTGATTTCTTGTGTTACGGACCTTGACGGAGCTTGACTGCAAAATATTTACAATAAATAATTATTTATAATTTATTATATATATATATATTATCCCCTCCAAAAATTTGATGACTTCAGCTCAAAAGTTTGGCGAATAAATCCTATCTAAAATGTACAAAATATGATGAGTCTCTTCTTGTGATTTATCATTCCATTCATAGTTGTTCGATTTCCATATACAGGGTGACTCAAAAAAATTAATGAATGCGTGAATTTATTTTATTGAGTTAAACAGGAACCACAAAACCGAATGCTTTGAATTCTTGCAGATGTTTTAAGGTTATAAAGAGTATAATAAATGTTTAGTCAAAATATTTTTGCTTATCCCCTCCAAAAAATTGATGACGTCAGCTCGAAAGTTTGCCGAATAAATCCTACCTAATCTGTACAAAATATGATGAGTCTGTACTGGTAATTTATCACTCCATTCATATTTTTTGATTTGCATATACAGGGTGACTCAAAAAAATTAATGAATGCGTAAATTTATTTTATTGATTTACTCAGGAACTACAAAACCGAATGCTTAGAAATTTTGAAGATGTTTTAAAGTTGTCATAAGCATGGTAAGTTTTTGATCAAAATGTATTTGCTCATCCCCCCTAAAAAATTTATGTCGTCACCACAAAATTTTGCTGAATAAATCCTGTCTAAAATGTACAAAAAATGATGAGTATCTTCTTGTGATTTATCATTCCATTCATATTTTTGGATTTGCATATACAGGGTGACCCAAAAAAATTGATGAATGCGTAAATGTATTTTATTGATTTAATCAGGAACTATAGAACCGAATGTTTTGAAATCTTGCAGATGTTTTAAGGTTATAAAGAGCATAATAAATTTTTAGTCAAAATATATTTGGTTATCTTCTCCAAAAAACTGATGACGTCAGCTCAAAAGTTTGCCGAATAATTCCTATCTAGAATATACAAAATATGATGAGTTTGTACTTGTAATTTATCATTCCATTCATATTTTTTGAATTTGCATATACCGGGTGACTCAAAAAAAAATGAATGCGTAAATTTATTTTATTGGTTTACTCAGGAACTACAAAACCGAATGCTTTGAAATCTACTGCGAAACAAAAACATAATAGACATGCAGTCGTCACGTTTCCGACAGCGAGGGAAGTACTGTCTAAACTCTTTAGACCAATTTTTTCTTTTTTTATTTATTCTTATTAAATTAATTTACTCTGATGGGTTGAGTTGTTACGGTTGCAGAAGTGTAGACAATGTAGGTAAGTGTTTTTGGACTGATTATTATCTTTCATTATTATTTTTATTTAAATACATAAGAAATAAAGATATACATCCATTCAAATTTATATGAAGTTTAATGATTAAACTCCCCACATTTAAAACAACGTTAATTCAAGAAATAAAAAACTAATGTCTTGTGAAGTGTTTTTTTTTTATTAGATAAACGGTATTCATTCATATACAAAACATAACAAGAAACATTTAATTATCGGTAGTGCTAAAAAGGAAATGTGAACATGATAAGAAATATCATTTTTTAGTTAAAGTTATTATCAATGAGTTGTCGCATCTCAGTATCGATCACCCATTCAAGATGACAAATACAGAGGTAAGAAACCAGGCAGTGGTAACTAGAACATAATTTAGTAATTTCGTCTTTACCTTCTTCTGGAAAAGGCCCGTTGTAGTAAAAAAATATCTGCTCCCTTTTATCCCAAAGCAACCAAACCCATTTAGGCACGGGAATTGTACCATCATTCAAATAAATTTCAATTGCCTCGT